GCACCACAGCACCGGCCCCAGCAAGAGCTTCCTGAGGCCTCCCTGGCCCCTTCGCCTCTTGTAAAGAGTAGGCAGTGACACAAAAACCTCCATTGCTTTAAAATCTGCGGACACTGAGGCTGGCGCTGTGGTGCAGTGGGTTAATCCTCCACCTGTAGTGCCGTCATCCCAAATGTGTGCTGGTTCAAGTCCCAGCTGCTCCTCTTTCTATCCAGCTCTCTGCTGTGGCCTGGGAAAGCAGCAGAAGATGGCCCACACTCTTGGGCCCCTGCACCCACATGGGAGACCTGGAAGAAGCTCCTGGCTTCTGGTTTCAGATTGGCCCAGCTCTGGCTGTTGCTGCTATTTGAGGAGTGAACCAGCAGATGAAAGACCTCTCTTTTTCTGTCTGTAACTCACTGTTTGTAACACTACCTTCTCAAATAAATAAATAAAATCATTTAAAAATCTATGGATACTAGACTTCCAAGAACGGGTGTGAGATGAAGACTGCATTTAAAAATAAAAGCAAGAGGCTGAGCATTTAGCCTAGTGGTTAAGATGTCTGCATTCCACACTGGAGTGCCTGGGTTTGGTTTCCAGCTCCGGCTCCTGCCTCCAGGTTCCTGCCAATGCATGCCTGGCAGGCAGCAGTGATGGCACAGGTAAGGGTCCCTGCTACCACATGGAGGTTTGCAATGAGTTCTGAGCTCCTGCCTTTGGACCTGGCCCAGCCCTGGCCATTGCTGACACTTGATGAGTGAACCAGCAAATAGTTCTCTTTCTTGGGGCCGGCATCCCATATGGGTGCCAGTTCATGTCCCAGATGCTCCACTTCCAATCCATCTCCCTGCTAATGTACCTGGGAAAGCAGCGGAAGATGGCCCACGTCCTTGGGCCCCTCAACCCATGTGGGAGACCTGGAAAAAGCTCCTGGCTTTGATCTGGCCCAGCCCGGGCTGTTGCAGCCATCTAGGAAGTGAGTCAGCAGATGGAAGATCTCTCTGTCTCTCCTTCACCCTCTATAACTCTGACTTTCAAATAAGTAAATAAATCTTAAAAAAAAAAAAAAGTTCTCTTTCTCTCTGTCTCTCGATTCAAGTGATTAAATAAAAAAAATTTCTCAAATAAGTAAACTAAAATATTTTTAAACTAGTGGAATAGAATGATGAAAATGTTCATGTTTGGTGAAAGGACAGGGTGTTTTGTTTTGTTTTCTCTCTTTCCTCCTCTTTTGTACTTTCCAGGAGTTCCCTAATGGAGTGCTTCGTTCATTCTAAAATGTATGTGGAAGAGAAAAAGGCCAAGAATGGCCATGCCAGTACTGAAGAACAATGTTGGAATTACACTGTCAAATAGCGAGACCTGTTATTAAGCTATAATAATTAAGACAGTGTGGTTTGAAGAGCAGAATGGAAAAGAGAATCAAGAAACAGACATCCGCTTAGACAATGGGCCAACTGATTTATAACAAAGATGACCCCACTGGGCTGGGCGTTGTGACACCACAGAATAAGCCACCACTTCGGACGCCTGCATCCCCTGTCAGGTGCCTGGGATCGGGTCCCGCCTCCACTTCCAATCCAGCTTCCTGCGAATGCATCCGGGAGGCAGCAGGTGATGGTGCAGGTCCTGGGGCCCCTGCCCATCCTTTCCCATGCGGGAAAGCTGGATGGAGCCCCTGGCTGTTGCTTTGGCCTGGCCCAGCTCCAGTTGTCGCAGGCATCTGGGGAGTGAACCAGCAGGTGGAAGATCCCTCTCTCTGTCTGTCTGCCTTTCCCTCTCCCTCTGTCACTCAGTCTTTCAGATTAATAAATAAAACTTAAAAAAATAAAAGATGATACTGTAGTCTGGTGGAGAAGGCTATTTTCCAAAAACCGTGCTAAGTTTATTGTGTGTTCATATTAAAGTGAACCTTGACCCTTCCTAACACATGTACACAAAACAGAACTAAATATGAAACATGAAAGCACAGTGACCTTAAAAGGAAACGTGGGGGAGGAGGAGTTTTAAAATGCTTTGGAAGGAAGCAGAACACACGAAGCAGAACGCGTCAGCTTAGCGTGAGCCCACACTGTGCTAAGGATACAAAAACAAGCCGGAAAACCTGAACGCGACCTAAGTGACGGCAGTGGAAGTGCAGAGTCCCGGGAAGATTCTCCAAGCTGTGCTCCCCAGTGGCCAAGGAGAGTGCTGCATTGCGCTCTCAGCAAAGGAGTGTTTTTACGAAGTACTAAGGTATGGCATAAGACCGGAAAATGCACACATCTTGAGTCTACAAGTTTGAGAAATTTTCAGAAACCGAATGCATGTGCCAGCGCCCATATCAAACTATTGGCTGGCACCCGCGGCTCAGTAGGCTAATCCTCTGCCTAGCGGTGCCAGCACACCAGGTTCTAGTCCCAGTCGGGGCGCCGGATTCTGTCCCGGTTGCCCCTCTTCCAGGCCAGCTCTCTGCTGTGGCCCGGGAGTGCAGTGGAGGATGGCTCAGGTGCTTGGGCCCTGCACCCCATGGGAGACCAGGAGAAGCACCTGGCTCCTGCCTTCGGATTGGCGCGGTGCGCCGGCCGCGGCGGCCATTGGAGGGTGAACCAACGGCAAAGGGAGACCTTTCTCTCTGTCTCTCTCTCTCACTGTCCGCTCTGCCTGTCGAAAAAAAAAAAGAAAAGAAAAAGATACAAACAAACTATGACCTGCACCGACGCCCTTTCACCCCTGCTGCCGGCTAGCCCTGCACCTTTCAGGACTCGCCCCCTAACACCATACTAGTCTTCCCTGGAGCCATGGCGTGTGTTTCTTGTGTCTAGCTTCTTTTTTTTTTTTAATTTTTATTTATTTATTTATTTATTTTTATTTTTTGACAGGCAGAGTGGACAGTGAGAGAGAGACAGAGAGAAAGGTCTTCCTTTTGCCATTGGTTCACCCTCCAATGGCCGCCGCTGATCTGATGGCAGGAGCCAGGTACTTATCCTGGTCTCCCATGGGGTGCAGGGCCCAAGCACTTGGGCCATCCTCCACTGCACTCCCTGGCCACAGCAGAGAGCTGGCCTGGGAGAGGGGCAACCGGGACAGAATCCAGTGCCCCGACTGGGACTAGAACCCGGTGTGCCGGCACCGCAAGGCGGAGGATTAGCCTAGTGAGCTGCGGCGCCGGCAGCTGTGTCTAGCTTCTTTTAATTCCACTGTCAGAGAATACACTCTGTATGATTTCAATCCTTTTAAAGTTATTAATTCTTATTTTATTGCCAAGTATATGGTCTGCTTGGTGAAGATCCCATGTAGTTGAAAACACAATTTATTGTTATATTGTTCAGCACATATGCATGGTTCTACAAATATCGATTAGGCTGTTGTGGTTAATAGCGGTTGAGTTTTCCAGAGCCTTACTGATTTCCTGTTTCTTTTCCCTATCAATCACTCACCATTGCCAATGGCCACTTCTCTAAGTCGGTGCTTCCTGTATTGGAGGCTGCCACCAGGTGTGTTCAGCTTCAGAATTGTTTTGTGTTTAAGCTGTTTCCCGATAAAACTAAAACAAAATATAACTAAAACTTGCCACTTTGTTTTTTCATAAATTTGGACTTTTTTAGCAAAAGAGAAACAGAGATGAGCAAAAGACCGAGAATGACAACAGTCTGTCGTAACCTCTTCTCTGCAGAGTTGAGCCGCGGCGCCGTATTAAAATGTGACTTTCACAACGTTTTCCACGCGGGTTGTAATGAGCCTTTTCCCCATCATTATGATTCTTCCGCATTATTTTTAATGGTAACATCATACTCATGAATGACCGTTGAGAAATTAATTTCACATTACCTCTCTCACTTGAATCTTACAGATGCCCAATCATGATCATCTCCTTTTCAACTTTTTCCATTTGTTCTAAGAGTTTCCTCTACAGGTATTCTTGGCAAGAGCTCCGCACCTGCCTCCAAAGCACAGGTGCGAAAGCTTCACAGGGAGGGGCCTCGGTCGCCCTGGAGCTGCTCCCCCCGTCAACAGACACCCACTGCATGCTCTTTGGAAACATCTGGAACTGGGCACCCACCTGAGTGTATTATCATCTTTCTTCAGACACCACTCTGAACACCAGTGGGACCTAATTTCTTTCACAGATATTTTGTTAGGGCAAGGCCCTTAGGGAGCCCTTCCTCTGCCATACTTGGCGCCTTGGGTGGGCTCCATCCCCTCAATCCCCTCTGCCCCCTTTCACCAGCCGCACCTCTGTGCACTGACAGCTTGCACCGATGACTTCCGGAAGATCCAGCCTGGGCCCGGAGGCTGCTTCACTCTGGGAATTTGACACTTGCCCAGAGTACAGAGCCCAGCGCCTCTAATTCAAGGGTGGACCTTGACCGCCCCCTGGGATCAGGGTGAGCCTGGGACCTGAAACCTGACCTTTGCCCGGCTGCTTTCCTCCCCTCTCCTGCTTCTTTGAGTCTCCAGATTTTTCCGGAAAGCAGGTCTTTCATAAATCACTTGCTCTGGAACCCTCGACCCAGACTCTCCTTTCGGTATAAGACAAAAAGTCTAAGATGCCGGAATTGCAGTTGTAAAGCCAAAGAGATAAGAGGAGAGCTATTCAGCTAACAGCTTCAGGCCAAACCTCCCGCAGCAGCAGCAACCACAATCCCACCCACACTCCTAAACACGCCTCAGGACAGCCGTCACTGCCTGTCACACCCTGCTTCCAACCCAACCAACAACCCAAGCAACACGTATTCCTCCTGCGGCCTCTTGTCCCACATCTGCCTTCTGCCACATCTGGAGCCTCTGTAGTGGCTCCAGAAACCCAATTATTTCAGAGATCTCTTGACTCAACAGGTAGAACCTAACCCTAAGACAGCATCCACGTCCCACCCACAGCACGACTCAAGACTCAACATAGATTCCTCCCCAGCTAACCCCTACACTCATCACCCTCCACCTTCCAAGCTTGAGAAACCAACACGGTGAATTTTAGAACAACTTGTCACCTGAACGTCTGTGTTGGCACTAAAAGACTAATAAAGGTTTTTACTCACTTTACCGAGGAAGTCACAGCAGAGGTCTTTGTTAAAGGAACCCCACCTGTGTGTTTAAAATAAAATTACAAAAATGTTACCCCAGAATTGACCTGAAGCAGCTTTCCAGAAATAACGTTTCCCAAAAAAGCGATGTCCCCAGGTATCAGCTCAGTGACTGAAGCAGAGGAATTCCCGTGCGTGGAAGAAGCTTTCTCCCGGCCCCTGGTGTGCCTGAGCTTTCCCCAAGCCCCCTGGATGGTACCCTGGAGGGAGTTGCCATGGCGACCACAGACGGTGCCCTCCCAGTAGGTCAGGCTCAGGAGAGAGTGTGGCTGAAAACCAGGGGCGTGCTCCCCTCCGACAGTCAAGAGCCGGGCAGGTTCGCCTGGTTCCCAAGTGTGTGTCCCCAGAGCAAGGGGGGCGAGGCCTGAGGGGCTCTCACTGACTGATTCACTGCTGAAGTTCACAGATACGAAGAGAAGGCTGCTGCCTACGTAAATGATGCTGGCTCTGATCCCAGGATCCACACCCACTTAACCCGGGGGGAGATAAAATGCACTCTCACGTTTGTTTAATTAGCTCATTTGAATAGAAGAGAAGCCACAGAGAGGGACAAACAGAGCTGAAGGCAGGAACTGGCACAAGCGAGTCCTTCCTCCCACCCTTAACAAGGAGACCCTGCTGAACCCCTTCCTCACACCTTTGTTCCCCGATGCGACTGCTACTTGTAATTACAAAACGAGTGCGCGCAACAACACAGACCTCTAAAGTAGGGTCTCCCTTCCTTCCCTCCAGCTCAGGCCACCGGAGGTCCTGACTCCGAACATCCTGGAGTGTGCAACCTTCCGGATCTCTCTTTGAGATCATTTACGAATGCCCAGTGTCCCTCCCACACACCTACAACATCGCCTTGCTACTTGCTTTCGCTTTTGCTGCTCACATCACGGCATCAGAGGATATGACCTGGAAGACCAGGCCAACATCTGCGGGTCCAGGGCTGGGTGGAAGGGCAGAGCAGCGGGGACTCTAAACCAACACTCCGGGCATTGGCTTACCCTGCCGCCATTATTTCTATAGCATACACCCCCAAAATGTGTGCTGCTGGGCCCATAGATGTGTTCACCTTTAATCCCAATAGTCACCTTAAGATCACTTTGCTGGGCCAGCGCTGTGGTGCAGTGCGTTAACGCCCAGGCCTGAAGTGTCGGCATCCCATATGGGCGCTGGTTCTAGTCCTGGCTGCTCCTCTTCCAATCCAGCTCTCTGCTGTGGCCTGGGAAAGCAGTAGAAGATGGCCCGGGTGCTTGGGCCCCTGCACCCATGTGGGAGACCCGGAAGAAGGTCATGGCTCCTGGCTTCCGACCGGCACAGCTCCGGACGTTGCGTCCATCTGGGGAGTGAATCATCAGATGGAAGACCTCTCTCTCTCTCTCTGCCTCTCCTCTCTCTGTGTTACTCTTTCAAATAAATAAATAAATCTTTAAAAAAAAAAAAAAGATCACTTTGCCAAACGGATCCAGAAATTCACACCCACATTAGTTATGTATGAGAGTCCTGTTGACCCACGCACTTGACAGCCTGGATAGTACTGGCCTTTAATTTTTGCCAAGCTGATAAGTGGTGTGAATTGTTTTATCTTGCTCCCGCACCACCCCTCGTGTCTTTCATTTGCTTATGGCCATTTGCATTCTCTCATCTGTAAAATGTTTGCTCGAGGCCTTTAGCCATGCTTCCTTTTTTAAACTTTTGTCCTTTTCAGATCAGGCTTTGCAATGGCGATACTATTTCATGTCTGCCATATGTATTGTCTTGTCATTGTCGGCTTTCTGATTGGGGAGGCCCATCGTTTGTGTCCCTCTTCTGTCCGTTCCACTTGTGAGCACCAGTTTTCACTGTTGTTTCTGACTCAGTGGGCAAGAACGCGGGGCTGGAAGAAAGCACGCCAGAACGTCCAATGGCGAGCGGAGAGGAGGCCGTGGTAACCGGAGCGGCATCCCGGGAAGCTGGGGACGAAGCTGGACAGCACCAGCATCTGTCACACTTTTTCTTTTCTTCCATTCAGTCGTTTTTGTTTGATTGTGGTAAGAACACTGCACAGGAGGTCCAGCCCCTGAGCAAAGGCAGAGTGCCGGCTGCTGCCCTGCGGCCGCTCCGGCTGCTCCGTGGCGTGGCGGGTCTCCACAGCTGCTGCATCTGGCTTCACCTGGAACCCTCAGACCTGGTGGAGAGAGGAGAGAGGCTTTTCCAGGATCCAATCAGATTAAACGGTCCTCCTCCTCGTAGAATGAAGCTCTTCTTCCATGCCCCCCCACCTTTTTTTTTTTAAAAAGAGATTTATTTATCTATTTATTTATTTGAAAGTCAGAGTTATAGAAGTAGAGAGCGAAAGAGAGGTCTTCCATCCACTGGTTCACACCCCAGATGGCCACAGCAGCCGGAACTGGGTTGATCTGAACTCAGGAGCTTGGACCTTCTTCCAGGTCTCCCACACAGGTGCAGGGGACCAAGCACTTGGGTCATCTTCCACTGCTTTCCCAGCTACAGCAGGGAGCTGGATTGGAAGAGGAGCAGCCGGGACTAGAACCAGCACCCACATGGGATGCCGGCACTGCAGACAGCGGCTTTACCCACTAGGCCACAGCGTTGGCCCCTGCCATGTCTCTTTAAGTGGCTCACTCCTACTCATTCTTCAAAACTCAACTCAAACACCCACCCCTCCAGAAAGCCTTCCTGGATCTGCTCACGCTGACCTGGATGCCCTCAGGTGTGTACTCCGTCTTAGCACCTGTCACATCACACCCTACCCCTAGACCGGGGGCTCCTCCACAGCTGACCCTCTCAGAGCACATGCACATCCCAGGGCCACACACAGGTAAAAGAACAAGAACAAATGCAGCCACTTTCCTTGGCATCCATGATCCAGGCCTCACCGTGATCAGAATCTAGCTGAGGTGCAACAACCAAGGCTGGGATCATAACCATGGGAGCAATTACACCTAAGCTGAGTATTACGAAACAGAGTCTACATGTTCTAGAAGCCCTGGGCTGGGAGTGAGAGGGTGCAAGGACGCCACAGAGGCTGTGGGACTTGACCTGGAGCTTGGGGCAGGGGCAGCGGGAGAAGCAGCAAGGGTGGCCATTGTGTGTGCTGACAGAGAATGGAGAATGGGCAGAGGCACTGGGAAGAAGCCCCAGGTGAGAGAAGCAGTGTGAAGGCTAACGGGGCCAGAACAGGGTCTGTGCTGGAAGAAGAGGAACCCAAGTTGGACAGCATCCAACTTCCCAGCAGGCCATTTCCAATGCTGCCTCCCCAGACCCTGTGAGCGATTGTGGGCCCCTAAATCTACTCCCAAGATGTGCTGTGGCACAGCAGGTTAAACTTCAGCCTGCAGAGCCAGCATCCCATATAGGTGCCGGTTCGAGTCCCGGCTGCTCTTCTTCTACTCCAGCTCCCTGTTAATGTGCCTGGGAAAAGCAGGAGAAGATGGCCCAAGTCCTTGGGCCCCTGTACCCACGTGGGAGACCCAGAAGAAGCTCCTGGCTTCGGATCAGCCCAGCTCTAGCTGTTGTGGCCATTGGGGAGTGAAGGTGCAAATGGAAGATCTCTCTCTCTGTAACTCTGTCTTTCAAATAAATAAATTAAAAAAAATATATAGTGTGTCCCTGAGCCTCTCTCTAAATCCTGAGCTCCTGATCTGGAGTGTGATTGGCAGAATGCCCCCCCCCAGGCTCTCCCCACACACAGATGTCCTTGTCCTAATCCTTGGAAGCTGTGACTATGTTGCATTACAAGCCAGAGGGGATTTGAGGCTGCAAATGGAATTAAGGTTGTTAATCTACTGACATCAAAACGGAGTGTCTGGATTATTCCCGTGCACCCAGTGGGATCACATGGACCTTGGAAGTGGAACTGAAGCTGGGGGTCAGAGGGAGATCAGAGGGTCCCAGGGAGAGGCGCTGGCTTGCCGTGACTGGTCCTGAAAATGGAGATGGGAGGCAACAAGCCAAGGACTGCAGGAGGGTTCTGGAAACTGCAAAAAGCAGGGAAACAGATTCTCCCCGAGCCCCCGGGAGGGCCCGGCGCTGCCAGCACCTGGACTTCAGCCCGGTGAGACCTGCTTCAGGCTCCTGATCTACAAGGCCATGAGATGAGGAATCCATATGGTTCAAGCCACCAGGCGGAAGTAACCATTACAACAACGGGAAACTGTAGGAGGGACCTACACGTGTGTCTCACCTGTGACTGTGAGTGAATTTCAAAATGTCCATGAAAGATAGGATTAAGAGATAGCTGTATCTGGGGGGAGAAAGTCCGAAACCCATCCATACAATGGGTCTTCAAAAAGTTCATAAAAAACTAAGCATGGATTTCAAAACTTTTTCCACCCAAGTAAGAGAATCTGTAATGCCCTTTTCCCACCACCTTTGTGAAGTACCCTGGAACATCCACACAGAACCCGGCTCTGTTTACTGAGGTGCACAAAAAATGCTTCTTCAGCAAAATCGCATAATGAACTCCTCACGTCTCGGACAACACCACCCACGTGCTGCCAGCCGCAGGCTCCAGGCCAGGTTGTTCCCTAGCGCAGGCTGCCTTCTTGCTATTACAAACAATCCCAGAGCAAACATCTTTCTTCTGTTTTGGAAGCAATTTGTTCATCCCCAGTGGAATTCCTGGGTCAAAGGGGACGCGCATTTTTGGTGGCCCTTTGCCCATTTAGCCCTAACTTCCACACCCACACTTCTGATGTAAGAAATCACCCCTCCCACCCCCACCCCACACTTAAACTTGTTCCTGCTCGGATAGCAAGCCCTGGGAAAGCTCTGGCCCCTGAAATGGAGGTGCGCCCCCACTGCAGAGCAGAGGCGCTGGGTGTTGTATCGGTGGTGGCCAGAGTGACTTCTCAGCCGCCGGAGAGTTCCCTGGGGATAATGCTGACCCAGGAGTGAGGAACCTAACACGTCCCTACTTTATTCTCTCTGCAGTTGCAATGAGGGATTTTTTTTTTTTTTAAGAGTTGCAAGAGACGATTGGCCTGTGTTCAGGAAGCTGGTAATTTTCCA